CTTTTGAAATCCCCAATGAGGGAGCTGATAAGGGGAAACACCTTTTTAAAAATTTTTATCGGGCCAAATTTTTAAATTTAAGATAGCTTTTTTAAAGTAAAATTTTCACCCTATTTCTTGGGTTTTAGTTTTGGAAAATTTCCGCCAAAAAAAAAATAAAAAACATTAGAAAGCACTACCATCTAAACGTAAAAAACGCCATCAAAATTTCCAAAAAAAAACATTTAAATCTGGATGTAAAAATAAAGTCAGTAGAAAAAGCTTTTTTATATGCGAGAAAGTGGCTACAGTAAAGGGGGGGCCGGCAAAAAAGAGTCCCGTGGGGGAAATAAAAGTTTTATACTAAAAAACCCCCTTTAGAAAAAAAGCACGCAAAAAGAAAAAAGGACATAAAAACTAAACCCCGACGATGTCCCTTTTTCACAAATCTTTTAAAAAATTTGGGGAAAACTAATTTCCCCTGCCTTGGGGACTTTCCCTCAGACGCGTTTCCCTCCTCATCTTCAGCAGCCAGAGAAAAGTTGTCATGCGGATGGTACCAGTCTGACAGGGTTTCCTGAATAATATGGAGAACTAGGCATTTTCGAATCGTTTAACTTCATGTTTTTTTTTGCTACCGACAGCGATTAGCTAATGCAGTTTCCACATATGGACGGTAGTCTACGGTTTTCCTGCCTGAGTTACAGAGTTTAGTGCTTGGTGCAGTCCTGTTTGAGCTGAATTTTTCAAGCGAAGTGCCTTCATTTGTGCAGCGGTTGAGTGGGCTTACATTTCGGGCTGGTGAAACTACCTTATGTAATAATTCTACGTGTATAGAGCCAACATATCGTGTCCGACTACTTCCATCAACCGACAAACAGTATTTTTTAGAGCAAATGTTGGCTTGACGCCTCTAACATTTACTGCATGCGCATATTCTGGATTGTACGGGGGACTAATGTTGTTAACCAGTGTTTCAAATGGAACAATGAGGGACATTTCATTTGATTTTCAGGGGTACAGGAAGGAAGTCAGTATGAGGTGACCTGATTGCAATGAAGTTGAAAATCTCAGCTAAGACTACCACCAGTAGCAGGTTGACTAAATGACTGTCTTTCCTTCCCCTAATTGTAGAGTGTTGGTGATATTCTTAGTCATTCCCGTCACCCCTTTGTCTCCACACATTATGATGATTTATACATAACATTGAATTGTATTTAAAAATATTCATAGCATTCTTGATAATTCTGTTTTAAATTGGTAATCAGTAGTGATTATATGTGGGGAGTGGCCGTAATGGAGAGGCTAGACGCTCGCCGCGGATCGGAAACTCGTGCGTTCACTCCTTGGCGGAGCAAATAACCTTGGCTCCCAGGTCGACCCATCCTTGAGTGAGTACGGGTGCATTCCCGGGAAGTAAAGGCTACCGGCGTGATGCTGACCATATCACCCATCTTGTGCCGATTAATCTGTAAAATATAGGTCTAGCCCTATTCGCCTAAAGGCGTGGGAAAGGGTCCTTTACTTTTACGTCACTTAATGATTATATGTCCTAGATGTACATCATTCTCTTCCTGTAGGAAAACCTAGCTACAGAAACCCTACAGCAACAGTTCGCAATTGTCAAAAATGAAACTACCACAAGTCATGTCGTGGAGTTTGGAGACTTGGTAAGTGTCGATTGAAGTCCATGCCATATGAATGTGGGCAGTTACTGTTTAACTTTTTACCGTCATCATCGTCATAGCCACCACCATAATCATCAACATCGTCGTCATCATCATAATTATGATCATTAACTGTCTTGCCGACTGGCGAGGGCAGTCATGCCTCTCATCTACTTGAGTTCTGCAAAAGCATTTTTTCGTTCCTATTCTGACACCACTTTGTGTCGTGATAATGTTTAAAAAGTTAAGCATCTCCTACCCTTGTCTTTCCCTAACTCTTTTTCGATACATCTTTCCAGTTGTCACACGTTCTGCTGTCTTTTTCTGATGTGGGGAAAGAAAGAAAGAAAACAAAGAAAGAAAACGTGGATACAGTAGACTCTGCAATATCCGGCCTTTTATGGCAAAAAGGTTTTTCCGGATATAAAAAATCCGGATATGCCAGATTTTTCAAAATAAATACACAGTTTCTACGCTAGCGATGTAATTAAACGCAATTTTTATACCAAAACCCGCTGTACAGTACAGGACAGTACGTTATAAACTTTCATCGTGTATTGCACAGTGTGTTTTAAATGGGAGACCACCAAACAATTGTTTAAATTTTGAGACAAATTTAGAATGTTTTTCTCAGCTGCAGAAAAATCATGCAGTCATTTTAGGCTGATATTTTTATTTTATAGTGGAAGAGGGCATGCGTATCATATATTATGTATGAGTGCTAACTTTGGGCTGAGATTTATATACTGTTCAGAACACACACACACACACACACACACACACACACACACACACACACATACACGCACGCGCATACACACAAAAATCCGCATAGCTGCTGAAAGGAACATACGTACTCTCAATTTTGACATTCTGTATGTTTGTAACGCAAAAATTAAAATTACCCACTGGAGCATGTCTTTTCAGCTCATCGCCCAGGTGCTCATTAGACTCATGTCTGCAGAGAGGGGTGGAGAGGGAAGGGTTTAAATGTTATTGGCAGCCAGGAACTGCAGAATGTCAACCGTGCAGATTAGGTGTGACGTTGTCCTGTTGAAAAAGATATCTGTTGTCATCACAAAATTAAAGGACATGTGGTCGAAGAATTTCATTGACGTATCGATGCGCATTCAAACTCCCTTCAGTGTGCACTGGTTGACTCCTTTCATTGTAACTGATCATTCCTTCCACCATTACACCTCCACCACCGTGCAGCAGAGCTTCATCAACACAATTTTGGGCTAAAACTTCATTTCACCTACGGTAGACCCTACACCGTCTATCATGATGCTGCAACAAAAAGAAAGATGGGCCACTAAACCAGACACGTCTCCGTTGACTGTCGCCTTCCCAGGGACGATGTTAGTTGGCCCAAAAAAGTCGATTTTGGCGGTGGCGACGCATTGGACAAGTCCTCGATGTGGTGGTCGTGCCCAAAGTCCAGTGTCATGCAGTCTCTTCCGAACAGTTTGCTCAGACACATGACATGCTGGAGGCAAAGCCTGCTCAGTTGAGAAAGCTGTTGTAAACCTGTTTCTGAGGTGACGAAGCCAAATAAAGCGATTCTCTGCTGTTGTTATCGGCCCCTGCGATGTCGGTCTTTAACTGAACCAGTCGCTTCGCACCAGTGCCAAAGTCGACTGCTGGCTCTCTGATGTACGTTTAGATGCCTGGCAACCTGACTTTCACTTTCTCCTGCCTGCAATCGGCCAATAGCAAGATTCCTTAAATTTATCGATAGAATCGCGGTTCGTGACTGCTCGAAAATGAATTGAGTGTTTTGATGTAGCGTTATCCTTTTAATCAGTTACGTAGGCAGTGAATAGTCTTCACCTCAAATTTTGTTGCTTTCTTGTGAGCGCATCATGAACTATGCTCACAAATATAGTCTCAAAGACAACTGACCACTGCGTTATAACGATTATAAAAACCCCCGCAATTTAGGCCTATGGTAGACACGGAAAACAACATTTAAGACGGCTTTTCCCATACCTGAGGTCTATATTTTATCTACAAACTAATAAAAACGGGCTGTCGGATGACTAGGTTTTTTTAAACACTTTTTTTTTAGAGTAGGAAAAGGCTGGTGCGTCATGTCTTTATAGTAATTTTAGGATGATATTTCTATTTTAGAGTGGAAAAATGCTGGCGTGTCATGTAATTTGGGTATTAAAATGTTAATTTAATTTCGAAGTGTCCCTATAAGTTCTGGGTCACAATTTTATTAGAGAAATAAAAAAATAGAGACCCACTGCCTCCCTAAAAAATGATGTCTTAAAGGTCGTTCTAGCTGGCGTGTTTCCTTCGAAGTCAGAGTGCATCTGCCCGAAAGACAAGAAACCAACAGTCTGCTTACAAAACTCAAGCTCTGGAACAGACCAAAGACCAGAAGTGGACGAACTACTGGAGTTTAGGTCAGTAAACTCGAAGAAGAAGAAGAAGAAAGAAGAAGAAGAAGAAGAAGAAGAAGAAGAAGAAGAAGAAGAAGAAGAAGAAGAAGAAGAAGAAGAAGAAGAAGAAGAAGAAGAAGAAGAAGAAGAAGAAGAAGAAGAAGAAGAAGAAGAAGAAGAAGAAGAAGAAGATGATGATGATGATTAAGAAGAAGAAAAAGAAGAAGAATTTCCAAATGCAAAACTGATAACAACTGATATGCTACGGCGTTCATAGTTTATGGGTGGTTTATACAATGGATCAACATCATGGCACATGGGTAGTAACCCATAAGTGTTATGTTCTACTTCTAACTTAAGCCCGAGTCTTACGAATCTCAGCTCAGTGCACGAACTCTGTAGCACTGGCGAGGATCCTGAAATACTTTAGGCATATTTTTTTGCATGGGCAGCTCAGTTATGCTACTCTTTTCTACTTCCAACTGCCAAGGCATTTTTTACGTGCGCAACAATACACGCCAGCATCCTGTCTTACTACCCAAAAGATAGTAGACATTACTAGAAGTGAAAAAAAAAAAATCCCAGCGGTCACCGGGGCATGAACCCGGGACCTCCAGCACTCAAGGCGGACGCCATGCCTCGAGACCACTAATTCACCCCCCCCCCCCTTTTTCCCTCACGGAGTTCATATAAAGCTATGTTCCTAACGCAATCCCAGTATTTGTTTGCAGTTTAAGGTTTTTTTTAAACTATGCATTTTTATGTTAGCAGTTTGGTTAATTTTATCTGTGGTGTTTTCTTTTTTGCAGACAATGGGGAGCCTAAGCGTTGGTAGCTTCCAAGGCCAGAACAAATCTAAGCCATTCCAGATCTCCAGTGGGTTGAAATATCATCCATCGGTAGGCATTTCAAGATGCTGTCAATGTCTTGTCTCTTTCTTTCGTGTCCTAAACCACGACACTTAATCTATTCCACTTTACTGAAGTCATAAGAAGGAGACAAACACTGTTCTTTGGCCACATAATGAGAAAGAGAGACATTGGAGAACATCGTGGCGACTGGAAAGATCAGGGGGAAAAGGGGTAGAGCAGACTAAGAGAGATGATGCTGGATGGGCTGAAATGAGGGCATGGAGGGATATCATCAAGAGAGCTGTTTCAGGCAACCAGGGATCGAGATCTGTGGAGACGCCTGAGCTAATACACCAGCTGGCAGTCCACATGATGATGAGGATACTGAAGTCTTACCCTACTGTAGGTTTTTTCTTTGCTATACCTTTTTGACTCATTATTTTTTCCTGAGCCAGAACACAATTTCTTCAAAACCAGTGAATCATAAACTGTTCCTGTAAAACAATGGAGTGCATCACCAACCTCAGACTACAGTGGTACATTGAAAGTGAAAACATCATTACACCACAGCAGGCGGTCTTTAGAAAGTTCTACTCTACGGAAGACCAGACAACATACCTCTCCCAAGAAATAGAGGATGCTTTTCAAGAAAAGAAACTGGTACTCGCGGCATGGATAGATTTAAGGAAAGCTTTTGATAAGGTTTGAAAGGAGGGGCTTTTGAAGAAATTGAGAAACTATAAAATAAATGGAAAAATGTACAGTTGGATTAAAGCATATCTACATAACATAAGAGCCCGGGTACAGGTGGATGGTTTTAAAAGTAAAAAAGTTCTACTGCGACAAGGCGTCCCTCAAGGTGGTGTCCTGTCGCCCACACTTTTCCTTTTATTCATCAACGATCTGGTTGCTCAGATACCAAATGGAATCAAAATGGCAATGTATGCCGACGACCTGGTACTGTGGTGCACCAATGAACATGCAACGATAGCCACAAAAACACTACAGCGGGCTACAAATGCACTTGAGGCATGGGCCAATAGATGGTGTGTCAGCATCAACGCAAACAAATGTAGCACCACACTATTCACCCTCTCCCCAAAGCAAAAAGCCAGCACCATCAAAATAAACGGAATACACCTGAGAGATGATAAAGAGCTCACATACCTAGGAGTCACATTTGATGACAGGTTGACATGGAGAAAACTTATCAACAAGGCAGCAACCAAAGCCAGGAGGAAGACAGCCATACTAAGAAAACTACGTGGAACCACATGGGGAGCAGATGGGAAAATCCTCAATAAAGTATACAAGCAGAGCATGCTTCCACACTTGGAATATGGGTCAACTGCATGGTGTTCAGCATCTAGTACCACATTAAAGGAGTTAGACAAAGTGCAAAATCAAGCGCTCAGAGTCATCACAGGAGGGATGAAATCAACACCCATATTAGAAATGGAGAAAGCTGGGAAAACACAGGCACTGAGAGAACGCAGAGATATAAAGTTGCAAATACAATCTGAAAAGTTCCGTAGTATGCCAGATCACCCGATGCAAAATAGATTTAAGAACCTAGCCTTGGGACGGTTAAAAAGAAGCAGCTTTATACACCAAGCAAAAAGAATATGTAGACAAACTCCTGACCTTCCAGAAATTGCTTGCCAACTTAACCTTACTCTGGAACAAACCCCATGAAGAGAAAAATGTAAACTAACGGTACAAATCCAGACAAATGTGAAAGGGATATTTGACAAGAAAGAGCAAGATAGTGTACAACTCAAAATGGCCACCTTATATTGATGAAGAATACCCACAAGAACCATGGGTCAGAGTCTATACAGATGGGTCCGCAGAAAGTGCAGTTAGAAATGGTGGTGCTGGAGTGTACATCGAATTCCCAGATGGTACTAAGGATAAGTCCAGCGTACCAACCGGGAAGTACTGCCATAACTACGATGCAGAAACCCAGGCTATCAAGATAGCTACAGAGGAACTGCTAAATACCAACCTTGGCTCACAGTATGTGGTAATGCTGACAGATGCTAAATCAGTACTTGAAGCACTCCAGTCTAGAAAACTACCAGAATTGCAAACACTGCTGACACAACTCAGCGTTCAGCGAAGAGTCGTAATGCAGTGGATACCGTCTCATTGTGGAGTGCCTGGAAATAAGAAAACTGATTACCTGGCAGGGGAAGGTGCGACAAAAGAGCAGCCGGATGTATCAGTCACATACCACCAAAAGAAAAGAATCATTAAATCGATCAGGAAACCACCAGCCCCAGCACAAGATGACTATTTTATTATGGACAGACCAGAACAAGACAATATCCTCCGCCTCAGAACAGGGCACAACCGATTACGTAACCACATATACACAAAATTCAAGATAGGTGTATCAGCCATGTGCACCTGTGGAAATGTGCCCCAGACAGCAGAGCATGTACTCCAGGACTGCACCGATTTTGACTCATTAAGGCAAACCTTTTGGCCAGAAAGAACAACAGTGGAACGTAAACTCTATGGACCACTGAATGAACTAACAATGACAGTGAAATTTATACAAGAGACAAAACTGCTGATATAGACAACTTATTTCAGGCGAACGAAAGAAGAAGAAGAATAAACTGTTCCGGCAGAATCCAGAACTTTGTACCGCACAAATGCATATAGCGGCGGCCAGTGGTGCCAGCACTAACAGTCCGCCATTAGAATTTTAATTCGTCGTTGATGCAAGCAGTCAGTCACGTAAGGGCTGACTGTAGCACATGCAGTATAGCAAAACGCACATCGCCATCCTGGGCGCAAACCTGCCTCCCTCAAATTTCTTAACATTTAACCAAAAACCACAGCTGACAAAGACCAAATGTTACACGTTATTGTTGTCCGCAAATTGTGCTTTTCTTTTTCTTTGCGACATAGGTTATTGCTTTTTCCAGAGTCAGACTGTGACACTTTTGATACATCTCTTGGAGATGTATTTCCATTGCATCTGCTAGTTGCTAATGATACCTAATAGGGGTTTTGCCGACAGCAACATCTTCATCATGTTTATGCAGCTTATCAAACAATTCACATCTTTATATTTCTCCACAGACCTTTGTTTGTGCTGTGAATCAACGTTGTGGATCACTAGCAAAGACAGCCTATCATCATTTCTTTCTGGCTGCCTCTGCCTCTGCTAATCTTTTTGTCTTCACGATATTAGCTAAAGCCTCTATTGTCATCTGGTGCCATCCTGGTCTAGCAGCCAGACGCTCACCTGCAGATCGTAAGGTCGTAGGTTCGGTTCCTGAAAAATTACTTTATCTCCCAGGTCGACCCAGCCTTTAGTGGGTACCAGGTACAGTCCTGGAAAGTAATGGCGGCTAGCATGATGCTGACATTACCCACCAAGTGGTCTATAAAATAAAGGTCTAGCCCTATATACCCAGAAGACATAAAGGGCATAGAATGGGTATTTTACTTAGTTTTACTCTATTTTCCTCACATATAAAGAAGAGAAAGAAGAAGAAGAAGAGGAGGAAGAGGAGTAGAAGGAGAAGGGGTGGAGGAGTAGGGGGAGGAAGAGGAGGAAGAGGAGAGGAACGAGAAATCTTCTTCTTCTTCTTCTTCTTCGCGTTTGGTTTCGTATGCCCAGGTCAGAATGACAACTAGACTACCTCTATGAATTCGCATTTCCACATGTTTTTTTCCCATGAATAATGATTTTATTTCTGGTTATAGTTTTCATAGTTTGTATTAACTTTCTAGAAATGTTATTTTTTTTATAAGCTTCTGTTAGGATCGCTCTTGTTTGTCTGGTCTCTAGTAAAAACTTTTCAACGCTTTGTCGATGACAGTACCATATGACACACACATATGCAGATTTTTTATTATTTTTCAGCTGAAGACACTAGGTATGTAGGTAATTGTACCCCACCAGGACGTCGCACAAGCGATAAACACCATGTGGCACAAAGTGCCACTATGCGGATGAGGATCACCCGTGGAGAGGTCCCCGTTTAGCCGTTAGTCTATATTTCAGGCCCGACTATATTTAGGGCCCCTGGCAAAAGCCAGGGCGGGGCTTCGAAATAGCTAGCAATTTAGTGCTTTTTGCTAAAGACATTATTTAAATTTATGTGAGAATAGATATGCCAGTAGTGATGCTTCAGGCTTGGCGAAATATAAAGAGTGGGGTTCTTTATGTTATCTTCTGCAGGAAGATGCGGTTCCATCTGAAGATGTGAAATTGCATATTCTAGAGAAAAAGATTGAGAGTGCTGTAGGTATCGAGAAGAAGAAATACGAAGCTGATCTCCAGTCTCTGCTGCAGGTAATGGTGAACTCTATGGTTGGCATTGAGTCAATGTTTATAGCTGTACCTGTACTGTTTTATATCATTGAAAAAATAATTTTGTTTGGAGGCAGGTGTAAAATATTTCCCACACATGCCATTCCACTATGAAAACACCATGACCATAAACAGATTTAGAAAAAAAAAAAAAAAAAAAACGAAGTTTATGGAAAAACCCTTTGAAACTACCGATACATTTCAAGCAATTATGAAGCAGTCTCATCACCTAGCAAATTAAACGGCGAAATTTACATTACATATAGTAAAGAAGATAACCTGAATGGGCAAAAAGTGCAAATACTAAGAAGCCTTTATTAGTCAGCAATGCCAAAAGGCAATCTATAAAACAACACTCTTACAGGCTATGGCTAAAAATATTTTTTTTTAAAAAGAACAAACGACAGAAAACAAGTAGAACTGAAATGAGATTCTTAATGACAGCACCAGGCATATTAGTTTGAAATTTTTGAACAACGGATCCAAATCATGGCATTACCAAGACTGACCCTATTTGATGTTTGCGAACGTTGTTTCCGGCCCCTCACCTCTTTCAAAGCTCCGGGTTGCTCATTTTGACTGTCATGGGAATTTTAATTCTTCTCCTGCATAATCACATCTCTGAGGCCTTTTGGTTGTAGCAGCCCACGAACTTAAAAACAAATGCCATTGGCTGGTCGCGCATATGGTAAGTAAAGTAAAAGACCCATTCTCCACACCTTTTTGGCTTATTGGGCATATAGGGCTAGACCTATATTTTTATAGACTAATCGACACAAGGTGGGTGATGGGGTCAGCATCACACCGGTCGCCTTTACTTATGAGGATTGCACCTGAAACCTACTAAAGGCTGGGTCGACATGGGAGCTAAGGTCATTAATGAGAAAAGTCAGCCTCCGCTAGGACCCCAACCCTTGACCTTCCGATCCGCAGGCGAGTTGATGCTGGACAAGGCACAACGGAGATCACTATCCATGTCAAGCTGCAACGGCTGTTTTGTTTTCCTGACTATCTGAAGGTTATTTGTACTATAACCTCCCCACGGACCGAAAATATACACACTAGCTCACTTCTGATTGGTCGACCTTCAGTCACCCAACCTTCGCACACTGCTACGCTGATGTTCGGCAATGCCGCTGATATCGCGTGTTGTATATTTAAGCGCGCCAGCGCTTTTAACACTTCAAAAACATTTAGATACAGGGTCTAACACACAGCCCCCCTAGACAGTGCTGCAACCTATAACACATGCATTCTCTTTCTCGGGGAAAAAAATCGTAAATGTAAGACAAGCCAGAAAGGAAACAACATAGCGGCAACCTGTAACACCACAGACAGCAGACGAATCTAAAATATTTATGAATGGAACGGGACCTAGTTTCCCTGGGGGGACTATCGTATACTCACTAAGCTGAAATTATTTTTTTTTACAAGTACAAATGCGCTCAGTCTCAAAACTGATCGACACCCCTCCCCTCCCCCAATCAGGTTGGACATCACTGGTCTAGAACTATATACTTTACTTTTGCTACAAATTTATACACCTAATGCTGACAAACGTGTGAAATTATTACAGAGAAAACATGCAACAATTGAGTTCTTCAAAAAGGTTGTGGCTGAGGTGTCCAACTCGGATGATTTTGAAACTTTCCTGAAAGCCCATCTCAAATTCTCAGATTTCAAGTGTTACAGGGAGAGTCTTAGGCTGATCCAGGAGTTGTGTCCGGGCATGAGACTTTTTCTGGTATGTTGTTGAATCAGATAGTTGAAAAATAATTTCATATTTGTAATTTAAATATAAAGGAAATCAAAGATGCGTTGGCTACGAAAGCATACTAAGTTTAATGTTGAATACTGAAGCGAACTCACAGCACTCGGGACACTCCCATAAGTGCTCAGTCCCAATCTTCAACAGCAAGCGAAGAGTTCCAATTCTGATGGTACTAATAACCGTCTGAACTTAGCACACTAAGTCTAAGAATTGGCTAGAGAAAGAGAGACTTTCAATCGTGACGTAAAAAGAGCGACGTTCTGTGAATGACATGCTGAGTGGTTGATTGAATTTAATTATGAAATAGTAATGATTGCAAGGATGTCGAATGTTGAATTAAGAATCAATATCACAGCACTCTGGACACCCCCAAACGCGCTCTGTCCCCATCTTCAGCAGCAAGCGAAGAGTTACAATTTCGATGGTACTAGTAACTGTCTGATTGTATATCTGTCTCGCCTTTTACCTGAGTGTGGAGCGTCGGCCAGATCTCTTTGTAACTCCTCGCAGTGCCTTTATCCTCAGACCGTAATGGTCTATCTGTTCCTCGGCATTGTTCACTCGCTCCCAAAAAGCCATAACAACATCCAGCTTGCCATATATCAGTTCACCACCAAGTAGTGCAGAACCGGCCAATCTATCTGCATGCTCATTTCCCAACAAACCGGCATAACCTAGAGAAAATATCCAAAGGATGCTAACTACATGGGACCTTTAAAGCGATACATGCCATTCTGAACGGAGCATGCCTGTCTCCATCTTTCTCGACATGCTCTGTAAACACCTGTAGACACCCCCTCCCTCCACCCCCCTTTTTCCCCCTGGAAGACGAAAAGTTCTAATACTTTGTTACTTCATGCCAGAATTCTCCACACTTTTCAACTGGATAGTATTTTATAGACCAACGGCATAAGATGGGTGATGTGGTCAGCATCATGCCGGCCGTATTTAATTCCCAGGACTGCACCTGGTACCTACTCATGTCTGAGTCGATCTGGGAGCCAAGGTCATTTTTTTTTAAAGTCCGGCTCCGCCAGGGGGGCAAACCCACAATTTTCCGATCCGCAGATGATCATCTAGCCGCTATTCAACGGCGACTCCCTTGGTGACACACTTTAGACAAACATAATTTAGAGAGACAGCAATTCAGCCTACTAGCACACTTGAGGTTAAACTGACCCCTCAAAGGAGACATGTAAACAAACATCAATTGTAATAGCCATGTTGTTTCATGGCGCTTTGTATCTCCTGAAACGTTACATTTTGTCCCCTCATGTATAGAATTCCCTGGCATAATGAGGGCCAGTAGACAAAAACGGCTGGGGCATATTGAAAGAATGTCGGGAAACAGAGCCTGCAAACACATAGTGTCACCAAAGTGAAAGAGAAGGCCGATCAGCAAGATGAATGGGTCAGGTGATATCTGCAGCAATAAACCTCTGTGGCTCGTAATGCTGAAGAAGAAGAAGAAGAAGAAGAAGAAGAAGAAGAACAACAACAACAACAACAACAACAACAACAACAAGAAAAGGAATAATAATAATAATAATAATAATAATAATAATAATAATAATAATAATAATAATAATAATAATAATAATAATAATAAGTTATTTTATTCTTCTTTTTTTTTCGAGCAGTAAAAAAATTCCCTGCCTGCTATAACTTCCATTTTAACACGCATATTACTTGATTATTTTGTCTGGCATAAGATGGTGGTGAATTGGAACTTTGAGACACCTATGAATATATTATAGCTTACTATGAAAATATATCAGTGCAGACGAGAAATATAACTAGTCCGCTGCCCATTGTCACAATCATGACGGACAAATGAATGTTGCGGCTAGAAAATCTTCATCAGTATTTGACAAATACAGACAATAATGGATTCAACGGCAAAGAAACATACGCAAAGTCACTTATCTCTAATATAAGATGTCACCCAAATCTATTCATGACAGGTCAGGGCAGTAGACACTCTGGGTAATATCTGATTATAATGTAACTGAATTTACGATGATATAGTACATCGGGCTACTCAACTGGACGCCCATCAGCTGAATCCGGCCCGCAGAGGCTTAAAAGCAGCCCACGGATCAGTGCCACCTGTTTTGTTTAAATGATCTTTCTATAATGGGGCTGGGAGTCGCAGTGGCGTTGATGGCTAGACCCTCCCCTGCGGATCGGAAGGTCGTGGGTTAGAGTCCTGATATAGCCAGACTTTTTTTTCTAAAAAAAAAAAAAAAGACCTTGACTCCCAGTTCGACCCAGCATTTGGTGGATACCAAGTGCAGTCCTGGGAAGTAAAAGCGGCCGGCGTGATGCTGACCTTATCACAAACCAAGTGCCTATTGGTCTATATAAAATATAGGTCTAGCCCTATATGCCCAGTACGTCGGAAGGCATGGAAAAGGGTCATTTGTATGCTAGGGCTAGAACTTCTGGCCCTCGACGATCGATATGGTCAACCGTTTGGTCTCGTGAGTACACGTAGTTAAATAACCCATCTAGTACACGGTTGTTCTAAACATACTGATGAAATTATCCGACTGTTCTTCCACAGAATGACTATGCCCTCAGAAAACTTCGTGTGCTGGCCAACATGTGTGAAACTGACATACCCAAAGAACAGATTTGGTCTGCAATCCCAAAAGTTGCATCTACGTCATCCATCTGTCATGTCTAAACCAGCACTGCAGAAAAAAGCATTTGACCAATCAGTTTGAGCAAAACATCCATCCCCCACCGCTTAAAACAGAGGAAGAAGAAGAAGAAGAAGAAGAAGAAGAAGAAGAAGAAGAAGAAGAAGAAGAAGAAGAAGAAGAAGAAGAAGAAGAAGAAGAAGAAGAAGAAGAAGAAGAAGAAAGAGGAGGAGAAGGAGGAAAAGGAGAAGAAGAAGAAGAAGAAGAAGAAGAAGAAGAAGAAGAAGAAGAAGAAGAAGAAGAAGAAGAAGAAGAAGAAGAAGAAGAAGAAGAAGAAGAAGAAGAAGAAGAAGAAGAAGAAGAAAAAGAAGAAGAAGAAGAGGAAAAAGAAGAAGAAGAGGAAAAAGAAGAAGAAGAAAAAAAAAGAAACATCTTACCTTTCAAATTGCACATAAAAGATATTTTGGTAATGTTTTTTGGGAACATTAACATTAGTAAAGTGAATTTACTAAATCTTGCTATGACCAATGTAGCACACACGTCCTTCTTCAATTTAATCACTCTGTTGTACCCAAAGCCAAATAAAAAGAAATTGTTGCAACATTAATGTCTAGGAAAGTTGTTTGTTTCATATATCTTTCTTTTCTGT